CAGATGGAGTCCTTCTAATTTAATTAATACGATATTTTGTTCACTGCGCGTATTTACAATAGAAGAGCGGGAAAAATTACTTTAAATTGGCAAATTACTTTGAGTTAAGAATTCGTAAAAATTTTTCTTTTTAAAATTTAAGGTTTTAAAATATAATACAAGATTCTTTATAAGATTATCTACCTTTATCAAAAAAAAAATGTCTACCGGAAAGTGAAATTAAATTTTTATGAGCATTTTAAATTCATATTTTTACAAAATTTGTTATTCATTCGATTTCTCATGTAACGATTTTCTTATTTTGTTGTACTTCAAAAACGAATAACTGTAGATATATTAAAATTTCACTGAATGTTTATTTTATCAATTCTTATACTTGAAAAAATTTTCAAAATATTTTGAGGGTTTTTTAGCTGTTTACGGGCATTGTCAGTTTTTTTATAAGCATTTAAAGATCGAATTTTGACAAAATTTATCAAATTTAAATTTGAATAATTATTTTGTAGTTAAAAATTTATAAAATTTATAACTTTTATATCTAAGGATTGAAAATTTAAAACAAGATTTCATGTAAGTAGTTATTTCTGTTACCAAAAGTGTAAAAAATACACAAGCACAGTTTATTTTTATAGTCATTTTAAATTCAAATTTGGACGAAATTACATATTAAAAAACCTAGAATAACTATTTTAGTTATATTTTGTTGTGACTGTATAATATTATTCGTGGTTACTTGAAACTTCCAAAGTGTACTATTATGTATCTATTATAGTATCACGGTTTGTTGTTGATGTATAACGCGTTATAAGTACCTAATTGATATTGTAATATGATTAATTTTGAATTTATTATATGTAAATTTTTTTTTAATACCTTAGAAATATATATAATAATATGTCTTATAGCTAGACTGACATACCGTCTCTGCTCAGAATCGTTTTTCTTATACAATGATATTATATCATTTAATTCAAATTTAATACCATCCATTATACCGTGACTCACTTGTAACCTACTGTACAGCAAAGCACCTTTTTTTTTATTTCTGTAAAATCTGATAATTTACAAACATTTATTAAGTTTTATAAATAACTAATTTGTTTTAGTCACAAAGTAATCTAAAATATTATTCTCTGAAATACAAGACTTATAATATAATATGGCATCGTTAAAAAAAAATAATACTCTAGCGAATGAGAATGAAAAAAAAAAAAAATATTTTTATTTAAAATGTTGTTTTATAATAACTACGAATTATCAAGAAAAAAATAAACATAGCGTATAATTTTGATGTAATGAGTGTTTACTTATAAAATAAACACCCTGTCTATCATTATGTGCCATTAATCGTCGTTAATGTGTTTCATAAAACTATAATGTTATGTATGCACTTCGTACTATGATAACCTATATCATAGTAGGTTACTATTATACATAAGCGAAAAACTATACACGGTTTAAAACGCACAGTTTTTAATCGTGACAAAAGTTTAGTTTACCTACAATTAAAACGTATATTAATTATACAAATGTTAGATTGTCGGGCGACTGGCGTGTTTAACGTAGTGCGATAATATAGAATTGACGACACCCGACGATAGGTGCGACATTGTTTCGAAACAATTTTAATAGTCGAAACATACTTCAAAGTTGTATACTATAATAAATTCTCCCTTAGTTGTTCGTGGAATATCGTGGCGTGAAACAAATACCACTTCGAAAGAGTCGGCAAACATTTATTTATAATTAAACCACAAGAACAGAAAAATAACATCCGAATTGTAAAAATTACGTTTTAACGTATTATGCTTTCGCTTTGGCTGGTAGGTGGTACCTATGCTATAAATATAATGATAAAATATTATCATAAACGAAAAATCAAATGCTCTGTATATAGGTACAGCGTTTCGTCGAATATTTTGTATTGTAATATGCATCTTAACAGCTAGATCTACCTATACTATATGTGTTTATTTGTTTGAAATTTTGGTATCAAAAAGTAATAATTACCGTCATTAACACCCAGATTATAGAAAAGAATTATTCAAATATAACGCGTACGAGTTGATTCCCCGCGGTCGTCAAGAGGTATGAACGACTTGATTCCCTGGTCATTATATATTATTTTCAATATTTAGTCAAATATTCAACCTATATTAGCCTAATCCAAGAAACACCAGGAGGAGGTTGGCTGACAAGTTTCTCAAACATTTTTCTCTTTATTTTGTTCAAATTTTTTTGTTAAAAAATTATTAGCAAAAAAATTTAGTTGGTAAAAAATGATTATTAAAAATTGTAGTAATTTGGTAAAAATGTATAACACATTGTTTTTTTAAAAATTAGTACCTGGTAATAATGTTATCAGTATACCGTGACATATAACGACCTGGAAATCAACTGGTACATACTTAATAATGACCCGGGAATGAACTCACCTACTGCGAAATATAAATCTGCCGATCATAATTATCTTATTTTAGAAAAATATATACTTAATAATTATTAGGGTACTTATATGAACTTAAATACCCTCTCTCTAAGAACGTTCTCATTCGTGGAGTATTATTATTTTTTTTTAATGACACCATATTATATTATTAGTTTCGTATTTCAGAGAAGAATATTTTTCTGAAATTTCATTATATATATAAGATTCTATTCGATCTATAATTATAATTATAATTAGTTATAGAAGAAAGTAGTTATTAAGGTCCTGATGAGTGGAGAAGGTCGACTAACATTTTGCAGCAGAATACTCCTATGCTACAATATTTATTTTGCTTCATCTAAACGTCATGATACGTCCTATGTAAATTAATTGGAGAGTCCAGTAGCTGTATTATTTTTTATAGATAACCTACCGACTTTCAATTAATGTTGCACACTGTATAATAGCTACCTTATAATTATTTATAGTATTCGTTTAGAATCCCTATTTTAATTTACCTATTATGTTGAATATTTATCAGAAAAATGGTTCATACCATGAAATTCAGATTAAAATTTTAAATTAAATAAAAATGTATCTGTTGTTCGAAAAAAGTTCACACTCCTAAAATTTGTATATAACGATAATACAAATTTTTTCCTTCAAAACGTAATAGTTATTATGTTATGTAAGTAATGACTTCAAATGCGCATTGTAGAAATAATATTTCCAACAAATTATTAGTGTTTACATATTTTGAAGAATCACTTTGGTAGATTATAATTATAATAACAATAACAGAGTGTTGATGGGTTTTGAAACGTAAAAACAAACGATTATTTTTCTCGTCTTCACCCGTCGCTCTCCACATCGTTATAATTCATCATTGCTATAGTTATTATTATAATATTATAACACAAAAAAAAAATCGTTGCTCGGTGATTGAATTCAGTCAGAAACGTGTGTCTGAGTGTAAGCACCGGCCGTCGTCGCTATAGTTCCCGGATGGACAACCACCACCCGATTTTAGTGACAAATCCTTTGCCACACATACACACACGTGTCCAATCCAACCTACCCCCACCCCCCTTCATACCGCTGTGGGCCGTAGTTGACGGCATTAAGATCAATAAAAAATAAATAAATAATCGTAGCTTGTAACGTATTGTTGTTAAACACGTAGGCAGTCACATTTTTATCGCATATGTCTCCTATATAGTCCAGCATCTGCGTTATTGTCGAGATTGTGTAATGAATTTAGCCGCCGCCCACCCACCAAGCAGAGCGTTGACAGTCGAGCAAAAACAACAGCCGCGTGTATAATATATATATAGTAACGCATTGGGCACCGGAAACACGTCCGAATCGTATTCGACCGGACCGCGTCGAAATGAGTTTGGTCGTTTATTAAAAACACTGCAGTCGGTGTATATGTGTATTATTATATTATATCGATTCGCTGTGAATCAATATCGCCACGACACTCGTCGCTATATATTATACGCAGTTCCGGGAGCCTTTTACGGCCGTAGAACCCACCCAATAGTAAATTTTTATTTTTCGAGGATTATTCCGTTATATATTATGTAGGTATATACATACATAATATATATACAGCATACACGACATCGTTATATGTTACGTTCCAGGTTCTGGGGTTTACGATTTTAACGATTAAGAGTAGATAGACTGAACATTTATATATTTTAACGTCCGCGTGACCGTAGCCAAAAAAACGTCACGCGGCAAATAAAATATGAAACTATATAATATATTATTATTATTATTATTACATGCCACACGGAGTGTGATTCACCGAGCATGCGCACTCTCAATCCGTACTATAATTAAGTGTACTATGCGTGTTTATGTGTTTATTTGATTTCTAATTTTTAGAATTTTTAAGTACGTTTAAAGAATTAAAGAGTCAAACACATGGATTTGTATAACCTTTTAAAGGAGTCCATAAGCGATAAAAATTCCACGGCTTCGCATCTAAAATCCATATTGTAACTCAAATTATTTTTTTTTAATAAACTGGAATTTATGAAACCGTATATTATTTCATTTTACAAATTTCATATGATAATATTATATAATTTAGAATTTCTTTTTTTTGGAATTATATTGATTTTTAAATTATTACTCATTTAATAATATTAAAGTACGATTTTACTATCAGTTGGTATTAGTTATTAATTGTTTCTCGTAACTAACACTCAGTTAATGCATAATGCCTTCATTTTATTTCAGATCATTTTATCCATCCATTCAATTATTTCTTCTAAAAGACATATTATTGAAATAATATTTTAAGGAATATCGTATAGTCACCTACATAGTTTTCAAATCACAATTTTTCCTGAACTGCTTAACACCCTTAGTTTAGCTTAACACCCACGTTAACTCGAATAATAAGCGATTATGACCGCACCCAAACGTTTGTTTAAGTTTTGAATTCCGGCACCAGATACCCGAAATCTAAATAAATAATTTAGGTGCAAAACCCTGAAAAAAAACTTCATTTTTTTCAAACGAGAACTGATTATTATTATTATTCCCGCGAACTCACCGTCCTTGTCGTAGTGGCTCCAGACATCCATGAATTGGTTGGCCGACAGTTTTTTCAGTTCGCGGCTGTGCGGGTCTCTGTATTGTTTCATGAAGTTGGTCGCTTTTTCTAAATTCAATTTTTTCTGTGCTGCCGCCGCTTCCACTGCAGCCGATGCCGAAGATGCGTCCGAAGAGAAACTCATTTTGTATAATTTCTACACGACATAATAGAAAAAAAAAATTAAAACCTTAATATGAAAAATTATATATGAAAAAGGCAATATTTTACACTCTTCGGTATTTAAAAACATAATATTATGCAATCCGAATAAAGTTATCACAGTTTATGTATCATATGTTTAACAAAAACGAAGAGACATTTCCGAAACGTGAATACTGTCGTGTGCAACTCGTGTTCTCTCGTACTTTTCATTAAGATTTTCGTGTTTACAACAGGTCGTGTTGTGAATAAAAATACAAAATCTCAAAATGAATAATAATTATAACTGAAAACTTTCGGTGTCACATAGTACCTATAATATAATATTATTACGTTGTATGTCATAATAAAGCCATATCTAGATGTTTTTGATAATTTACAAACCATATAAACGGTAAAAGTGATTTAATTATTCAGTACAGTACGGTGATTCTAATAAAAGGTAAATCTAATATCAAAAACAAACGATTTGGTTTGAGATTTTCATTTTCATTTCAACAAAAACACGGTGGATCCTATAAACAAGAATTACTCAGAATTCTTCTTAAGTCGATATTATGTACTTACAGAGGAGGTAAGATAACTTTTCTTTTTTCTCGAGTTGATAACTTTTAATAGGGTACATTGAAACCAAAAAAAAAAGTTCAGCGGAGGATGATCTCCCCGTGCAACGAAATAAATACGCCTCTGCTCATCATAAAGCAATTTTCGTCCTAGCAAGTTTGTTCGCATATTATAAAAGGCGTATACGATTGCAGGATAAACTCAACTATGCACCCATAATAATATAATAATAGTGGCTTTATTATTATTCTCCGAGCACTGTTTATCTTTTATACGTCGATAACAAAAGTAGGCACTTCGCGTATAATAACAGTTTACAATAATTGAATACGAAACCGTCACTGCGGGCCATAATTTTATTTATTTTATTATTATTATATTTAGGTAGGTACCTACCTACTTACTTTCGTTATTATTAATCGAAATCAAAAATTATAAACCCTTTGCTGAATTTTATTATCGTTTTTCGTGTGAATAATAATAATAATTGTTAAATCCTCTATTGAATATAAATTCGTAAGTTGAGATAACAATCGTTTTTCCGACTGAGCATTTCCTACTCCAAACGAATAATCTTTACCGAGTGATTAAATTTATACAATACATTACCATACACCTCTATATATTATATAGTTGGGCAAACTATTCATGCATAATAATAGATAAATTATGAACAGCCACGGGCTTAACTTAATACAATTACGGTAAAATAATCTTTTAAAAAGGTTTAATACCTACAATAATATTAGTATTCCCTGAAAAATGTTTCAATCAATTAAAATAATATATACTCATAAGTCATTATAATTTCATTTTCCTTTGTTATTTAAGTCCCGGAAAGCATTAAACGTGAAATATTTGATTACATTTTAATTAGAATATAATATATTTTTTGACCTTCATTATTTAAAATGTTTCTTAAAAACCCATTTTTAATTACCCACAGATTAATGTCCCTTTACACAACATTAACATTATTATTATTACTACTTTTATTATTATTATTATTGCAATAATTACTATAAGTACCATTGTGAATTTATAATTTCGTCTAAAATGTCTTCTGTTCGTTTACATCTCGGAAATTGAATCTCAATTTGCAGTTAATTGAATAAAACAAAATAGACTTAAGACATAGTGAAGTCATAGGTAATGTAAATACACTGTTTTCTTAATTATAATGAAAATCCAATGTAAACCAGCCATATTGAATATGCAGAGTACTCACAATCAACTTAAAACAACATAAATAAGATAGCTGACAAGAAAAGTCAATACAAGACAAATATAAACTTTTCGTATTAACTTGCAAGTATAAATCAATAGTAGGTATTTTAAACCAGTGCTTGAAAAATAGGAACCAAAGATATCAATTCAGTGCCTGTCTGTTATTGATGTTTTTCATTTCGGCCGTTTGAGAGACTTTCGATTTGCGGGGCCCAAGCGATAAATTTTACGACGGAAGTGTGAATTCAAGTCTATTTTGACTGGAGGTCATAGATCAACAGGCAATTCATTGTTTTTTTGCTTGCGTGCAAAACCTCGGAATAGCTTTTAACGTAGGCTTATTCGGTTTACTTGACTCGACATTCTTTACAACATTAACGTGTACATCCTTCTTTTTACATTTTGACGCAAATTATTATTTATTAACGGTCGTTTTGAAAACAAGTCCACGGGTGGGGTGGAAAAGGTGAAATGAGGCCTAATGGTTTTGATGTGTTTTCAGACGAAGACGTGCGGATGTCTATAATTTTATGAAGGTGTGAAAATGAAAAGTGAACGCATATCTTGTAAGTGTCACAGCTGAAACACTGATGAATGCTTTCGAAATCATTAATATATGATGTTTATATGTTTTGTAATCATTTTGATGATCCACTTTAATAAGATCTACTTGCTAATAATTAGTGTTATGTGTTACAATGATGTATGCAATGGCGAATTGTTAAGTGGGTGTGTGAATGGTTGAGGAAGGTGTATGTGGGACGACGTACGATCAGTTATCTTGTTTTTGTTTGTGAAAAGACGTACCTATGTTAAATTGTCATGATTTATTTTGGGAGAGTACTCCAAGAGATATCCAAAAAGCGACCTTCTTAATGTAAAAACAATTCTTGTACTTAATTTGCATAATATGGGCTTGAAGAAAATATTGGATTCGTGGAATCGAGAAAAAATGTTTGATAAGGTTTTTAGTTTTTACCATTGTCTCCTATCTACAATGTAAACGGTATACCCACGATTTTTTTGCCAATACATCAATGGATGGTCTGGATGTATGTTGTATGTTTGTGTCTGTATGTGTATGTTGACTGTCTGTGTGTACGTGTATCTACGTGAGTTTTTCTGCCTTACTCGTTTTTATAAGGTACTTTTTGAGCAGTTACAGAGGTGAAACTTGTTCACATGGCCGTATATACCAATCGATTGCACATTGAACACAGATTGTACTTTAGAGAGGTCGTTTTAACAGAATTCCCAGTAGTTGAGGAAAACGCGTTGAATAACAGCGAGCAAATCTAAAAGAAATGTCCAATAAACGTGCATGCCCGATCTTATCAACATTATGGACAATCTCTGTGGAAACCAGGGCAATTTGGAATTGTAAATTGTAATTTAATAACGATTCATTGAATTATGTTGCGCTGAGAAAAGAAAAGTGAGACGATAAGTGCCTATTAACGACATAGTAATAATATACTCTATGATTATTATTGGTGTCCGGATAATGATTTGACTGAATAGCTTTTTGTAATAACAACACCGTCACTGCAGCTGTGAATTTTTTTATTTTTGCATGAAATTGTCACTACTGCTATATGAGATTCATTAGTTGAATTTTAAGCCTCTTTATTTAGTCATTGATTTCGCAAAATATAATATATTTCAAACAATGAAAAATAGGTCACATTGTTTAGCGTTTTAATCAAGAAAAATGTTTGTAAGTTTATGAAAAACATGTCTATAAGTATTAAAGTAGTGGGCACTGTGACAAAATATACGTCACAGTAGGTCTCAAAACCTTACTCATGGTTGATCATTATTCCCAAATCGCATTTTTCTAAAAGTATTGCAATGTAAATCTCGGTGTTATGTTGAAATGCTCGAACATTATTATTCCCAAAAGGTAAATAACATCCACTTTAATTATATTTTCTTTTACTCGACAAATAAAACCCTGAATATGTGTGTTTAATTACTTTTTATTACAATATCTTTAATTATTGTATTCATAATACCGCAAATACACAATACATAATAGGTATATTATACAAATATTACATGCGTAAACACGTCATATGATGCAAGACTCATGATTGTATTGTTAAGACTTTGCACAAAATAATGTAATTTAACTTTTTAAATATTCTCTTTGATAACGTTAGTACAATCAAACAATTATTTTATTTGTTCTTGTTCATTTTTAAAATACCGCCACGATTGGATATTTGTTACAAAGTCGCGAAAACTTATTTTTGTCGTTAATTAAAAACTATTTAACAACAAACGAATTATAGGTTATAAGTGCACAGAGGAGTATCTAAAATCTAAATCACGTTAAATGCATGACTACCTACGTATTTCAAGAAATGTGAACAATGGATGGAATTTCATTGATGTTTTTCTTCATTCGATTGGAATACAGAACGCATTATAGCGAACAAACAAAAAAACCAATACTGCTCAAGACTTAATTTCTCTCTGATGAAAAATTTGTTTTAACCGTAGTATAAAAAAGGCGTATATAAATGTATATTGTAAATAAACAAACCATATTCATACTCTTTGAATATGTTTCTTTATTATGGTAAAAATATCATAATGTTTTTTTAAAATACATCTTACCTACGGATTTTACGGTTGTTGTATATATACGCATTTATTAAAAAAAGTCTGTAGGTAATCATAGTTCATACTATTCTCAGTTTATCCATAATAATATTTTTCATAAAGATTACATTTCGAAATGTATATTATGCTCAAACTTGACAATATGTTTGTGATTAATTTAAACATAAAGTTGTGCAAGATTATCAGTTTACTGTATTTTGCGTACGGCTATGTTAGAATAAAGAATATCATAACAATTTCACAAATCAAATATATATATAAATATAATAGGCAGGTATTTTTTTATTTAATAAAGGATAATTTGATAAATTTGTAAGTGTATTATGAAGAGGTATTTATTAAGATAATGATTTTTATATTACACAGTGCATTTAATTAAATCATCAAGAACATAAATTACATATTTTAAAAAACAATATTTATATTTTCAAATTTATTATCAATGCCTATATGAAATAAGTCATAACGATGAATCTTTTTAATAATGATTACATCTTTTGTAGGTAACAACATAATACATTATTCGCATTTTACTGAAACAAACACATCAGATTAACATCGTTTAAACGAAACGTTTTACATTTAAATGGATTCGTTTTTTTTTTTTAAATTTTGTTCAAACTCCAAAAGTCCAAACTGTAATTATTATTTTGCTTAACGTTATTGTTACTGATTCAAAAAATCGTTTCGTGCATTACGCTTTAAATGTTTAATACCTATGTTGTAATATGTTTACCATTAAATTATATTATTATTATCATATAGTATTATACCTATCGCATCGTTACTCCTAACGTACGGCTTGCTTTTAATAATACTCCAACAAAATATAAACCGGATAAACGGTTCACGCGAACCCACCCGTAGTTTCATTCGCATTACAATCGGGTTGGCAATTTTCTTTGAAAAATCATGCTTAAATAGGTACCACGCACTACATCAGTTATATCTAATACATAATGTATACACCGTTCATATTAAATCGTATATATATATCGTAATATTGCTGCAATAATAATAATAATATATTGTGGGGCACAGTTGGTCACATCGATTTGTGTAAAGCCATCCGGTATTGCGGTCACGTGACCAAATGCAGTCTTGATACGTACACACAAATCCAAATCGAATGTGTATGCATAATATAATAATAACAATATACATATTATAATGCTGACGAAAACGCGCTCGCACAAACACACTCACACTCGGACATTAGAATTTAATACGTATATATATATAGAAGACACCGATTTACATAAAAACTTATTCAAATAATTGACCCCCTCACCCTTCACTCCACCGTCCCGACCGTCGGAGCTTTACTCGCCATGTCGTTTGAGAATAATATAATATCATATACGCGTGTGGCGGCGTTGAGCGTTTACAGCCGCACTCGTATAATATAACTTTTCATCCCGCGCGCCACTGCAACGTATTATACTGTATCAGCAGCTCTTTTCGACGTTCGATTAGGTCGTAAAGGATTGTAATATAATATACACAGGGTGTTTACAAAATAAAATCTGGTTAGAATTTCGAAAAATCGTAGAGCGGGATGTTGGCAAGCTAGCCGAGACCGGGGGACCTATACAGATGTGAAGGGGAGGTTTTGGAATTTTTTGTCGCCGGTAGATGGCTCTTGGTACGCTATATGCCGGTGATGGGTAGAGGAAAGTCTTCGTTCCTATCAGCTCCCAGCACGGTGGAAACACCTCAACAGAAAGCGTTTTGCGTACCTATATCGAATTATGATATAATGCGTCTTACGGTGTCTGATGAGTTCACATATCAAACATTTATACAGATTTGTTATACAAAAAAAAACTCTCGAATCTCTTGTTCAAGATGACTGATGAACAATTCTCGTAAGGTGGTTTTTATATATAAATTTGATTTGTAAAAATTCTCCCTCTCCCCTTTGTTTTGTAAATATCCTGAAGGACTGCAGTATATTATAATATATTGTTCGAATATGATAAAAAATTTGCTGCGAGGGTAGGTATTACATATTATTATGATATATTCTGATATCGTATCAAACGAAACGGTCGATAGACTTAAATGCCATATAATATAATATAATACCCGATTCAATAAAACCGAGTACTGCAGTATAGTATTTGCGTTGCTCTTCGACTGTCACGCACTACACCCTCTGAATTCGACTCGCTGGCTATACATAATATACTGTTTGTTGAATGATGTACCTATATATAGTATATACGTTCGCAGCCTTACGTGGGTCGTGTACCGAAAATTCAAAAGGAAGCACAGCTCATATTACAATATCACACAGTTACACGGTGGTTTAAATATTATAAATTATAGCGTGAGGGGTGCCGCAAGTCCGATCGGTCTCGTGAATTTGAGCTCGATCGCGATTATAAACCGGAGAGCTGCACAAAGGATTAATGCCCGGGTATTATCATAATATAAGTCGTTGGCGGCCGACAGAAGTCGTACCGATGTGCCAAATTCGATATCTGGGGCTCAAATATTTAACGTGTTTGTTGCGCGCGGCCCCTCGCATCTTGTACCTGTAGACCTACCGTAACCCGTTAACCACGAAGTTCGCGGCATAGACAGCAGACGGCCACGATTGGCACACACTTCAATGTATGATTATAAAATATAATAATACATGATTATTGATAATTGGCTTGAAGCAAAAACTCCCTAAACAGCAAAAGCTGAAATGTCGGGAAATTAAATATAACAACATATATTTTCAAATAGTAAAAACTAAAAAGATAATAATATTATATTGGTTAGTATGATGAGTTTTAGATATAAAAATATTGTATTTTGTTTCGGGCATAAATAGTCACTATATTATTGAGTTAGTTATTTATGATATTGCGAGTTCTATATCTTTCAGAAAATACTAGACAAATTTGTAGTTACTATTTAGTGCGTTTTTGCTTCAAGCCGACGGATTTTAAAGTCCGGAAACGGCTATAATATTATAACGATATATAAATATATATTAAATCATACTATAAAACAGTCGCGTGTAATTTTCTATAATAACAGTACTGATTGATATCAACGAATTATCATTAAAACAATAATGATGATGATGATGATAATAATAAATGTATATTATAGGGTCACAAGGGGATTTTTTTTTTTGATTTTCCGAACTCTTCGAATTTATAATAATAATAATGGTTTAATTATTACGGTAATTTATATAATTTATATTTTTTTAATATCGCTAATATAGTTATATAATATAATAAATTCAGTAATAATATTGATGACAATAATCATTACAATATAATTGAATAGTATAACTTTTACCTTGGTGTTATCGAATGGAGGGCAACGTGAAATTGAGCGAGAATGTGACAATGGACTGTTGCGGTGGTGCGTGGGTGTTGATACCTGTACTCGTCGTGGAGGACTAAAGCTGTGCTACCGCCGAGCACCCCGGCTAGTTTGTCGGCGTCTAGAACGCTTGCGCGGCTCCATAATGCAGCAAACCCTTGGCCCTTTTTCTCTATGTTTTTTTCCCTGTAAAGTTTTAAGTTTATATACGCGAGGAGGGGAAACAGATCGTTGCGGAATGCCGGCCAATTTTATATATTACACCGAAGCATATGCAAATACCACGGAAAATATAACTTGACCCTAAGTACGAACATTTAAACGAGAAGATTCTTTTATTATTTTTCGTATCTCTTAGAACTGTTAATATTTAAATCTTCCGACCCGTCCAATGTCTTTCACTACCCATATAAGGTACCTACTATATTTCAATAGAAAAAAGGTCGTTCGCTGCTGCAATGTCCTAAGGCATTTTCGTCTCTTCGCTCTTTCACTATAAAATAAATAAAAACGCACAGCCTGCAAGCAGCTCGAGTGCGAGTTTTCTTTTTCTTTTACTTTAACGACGCATAAAACGCGGTAAACTATTTAACGTTAAGGTTGTCGTGGATAACGCTTACGTACGTTTATCGATAACAGCTATAAATACGAAACATATATTGCACGAGGTACCTCCCCGGCGATGAGGAATATATAACTGATATTTCAAATTGTGAGTTTTATTAGAACGAATTTAATGATGAATGAAAATAATATTTATATGCGAAAAAGCCGCGTGACGTTTATTGAAATTTATTATTCCCATTGGCTTACTCTCATTGACAGCCAAAGGATACATAATGTTTATGTGATTGATTATCGTTTGACATTTTATTTTTGATACAATTTTTTTATACTGCACAAATATTTTAAAACTATATGTGGTTTGATTTTCTATTATTTTTTTTTCAACTCCAATTGTATGTAATATCTATTTTAGATTCCTCTTATATCATGCTGACGCGTTTGTTCCTCAAAATCAATTGCAGGAAACTAGAACACTGAAGCAGATCACAAAGAGCATAATAAACTAAAAAAATAAAATGCAAAGATCGATATTTTATTTATGGTAGTCATCTCATAATATTATTATTATTGTTTCAAAGTATTTTAGATTCTGAGCGGAGCGAGGAAGCTAGTGGTTTTACAATGGTGTTTATCTTTTTTTTTATATATATATCCTGTATACAAAATTTACCAGAAGGAATCCTTCGATTTCCACATATAGTATCTTATCTTTTAGTAAATGGATCAATATGGTACTTTAAAAAGGTCATTTTTCGATTTTATCAATAGTTATTTAATGCCACGGTAAAAACCACCGAAAAATTACGAAACGCTAAAAATGGGATTTTAATTTCTAACGCTTTGTTTATTACCATAAAAACGAATAAAAAATAATAATATTATAATATTAATTCAACTTACATGATATAATAATTAATGACAATATAAAATATCTAGACTGACAAACCGTTTCCACTCAGAATCGTTTTTCTTATACAATTATAGAATATCATTGAATTCGAGTTTAATATAATCCATTATACATTGACGCACTTGAAATTTACTGTACATCCACTAACCTGCTTTTTTCATTTTGTTTTAATTCGGTCATCGGTCTCGAATCATTTTATTTATCTCGGCATAAGCCACTGACATGTAGTTATGGTTATGAAATCATAGTTTGGTTACGTATTAACAAACGAGAGTACCACACTGAAAGCTGCAATTTCAAACCCAGCTCGTTATGAATTTCTTAAAATGTGTTTCCAATTTTCTGTATAGTTTTCCTTGCACGTAGAAAATGTATTGAGGAAATTGAAAAACAACTTCTTCAAATAATGTAGGTACCATATTCTGATATTCAGAGTTGATTATATATAGTAATGGACATGAAACTATTTCCGAGTACTCTAACTACTCGGAAAAAGGTTCATAGAAAAGGGAGAATAAGAACAAAAAAACATTATAAAACCAATGCTTTTCTCACAGTGTGTATAAGTATCTGAGATATATTATACAGGGTGATTCATCGAACTTATCCCAAATTTTTTTTTTAGTGATAAATGTATTAAATGTTGTAAATGTTCAAGCACTTAAACTTAATAATGAGCATATTATTTTCAAATATTTATAAATCGTCCACCATTTAAAAGAGAGCTAGTATGCAATAGCGATACAAACTTCTTTTATTCAAATGAAAACCACCTAAATTTCCTGTAAATCTTTAAGCAGAGGTCTAAAAAAAGGTTGATGTAGGTACTTAAATCGAAACTCCAGAGAGTAATTTTTAGGTTATCTAAATTTGTGTAATTTTGTACCAATGATAATAGGTACGCTTAAAAATTAAAATATATAAGGGTATTGGTACCTATAATTATTTGAAAACAACACAATACAATAATAATTATAATCTATATTAGCGTTTATATTTTATACACATTTTCTAAATATTCTATTAAGTACTAGATTAGGTTTTAAATCTACTACATAATTTTTTTAAATAATTTGTATGGACATAATCCTTAGTGAATACTTTTTAATAACTCCGAAATTACTCGATTGAGTTTTAATTTAGAGACAAGAGATCAAAACAAAAATCTGCTGCTTAAAAATTTACAGTTAAAAAGATTGATTTTTATTATGAAAAAAGAAGTTTATATCGCCACAAGACACTCATCATATACACTCATTATAAGGTATAAAAAAACCTGATGTATAATAATAATAATTTTTTTTTAAGAGTAAGCCGTTACTAAAAATGCATGATTCTTTAACATAATCTAAAAATGGTCGTATAGCATTGTCTCGAGAATACTTATATAATAAATAATAAATATGACAACATTATTGAAAAAGTATTTTTTTTTAAATCTTTTTTTAGAGTTTTAAGGCATTTATAATTTTAAACTTTTTCGTCCAAGTTTATTCCAAGTATTTTGAACAAGAAAATATCGAAAGAAAGTTTCATCTCTGCTTGAAATATTGAATTTTCACCTTCGCTATTGCCTATTAGGTCATAAATTTATTTTGTAAATATAACAGCCAATCATATAACTTCATGATTTCTTATAAACTACAAAATGTAAAATATGTAATGAAATAATGCATTTTATTATATCTTCAGACAGGTAATAAGAGTACTAAGTAAATTTAATATAATTGTACATTAATCGCTTAACGATTTCTATTTAATCATTGAAGTTATAACTTATTTACTGTAGATTTATTATATGTAGATTTTCAATTAATTTAATAAAATTTTAAGGCATAAATTTACATTTTTAAATACTCACATATTATTTATTAGTATTTCTATATAATATGATATTATTACTTTAACGAGAATTAGGTTACTGTACTTATCTACATCTTATATCCGATCCTTATGTTATTATAAAATCAATATCGTTAAACCGATATATATTTTATTATTTATTAAATTTATTAATAGTATTTAATATTTATTACTGTAAAGATATTTTATTAAATAATGTCCCTATATAATATCTCACCATAGATGAATTAATTTATCTAAATAGTATTAATTTTATATTTTGTACCGAACTTAAAATGAGTTGAAATTGTAATAACGTGGTTCGTCACAATTTTTGAGAAGTAAAAATGCTTTAAGGTCAATAACATATAGTCCCACATTTGATTGAAAACTGAACATCTGCGGTACTTTAAAAAGGTGTAGTAAGGTAAATGTTTGTTTTATTGTAGGTACACACTATACAGTATACTTGGTTCTTGAAAAAGTTTTATATAACAATAGAAAATCTGAAGAAATACAATAATACAATTATTTACTTCAAATATTGATTGATTATATTTTATTTTTCTATATATGAATAGACCACCGATATATTATATGATTTTAGATTCTGAGTGAAACGATGAATGTATTGATTTTACAATGATGTGTGTTTTTTTTTTGTGTCTGTTATCACGGTTTGGGGCAGTAAAACTGCTTCGATTTTCTTCAACAGTATCTTGTTCGTTAGGAAAGTTAATCTAGTTGGTACATTCGGGAGGTCAAATTTTAAAATTCCCAATAGTTTTTACTAGCGCCGGGAAAAGCAACATAAAAAATTGAGGAAATTTTTACGCAAAATCGATTTTCCAAAAATCGATTTTGGTTTTTGGTGTAACTCTAAGACAAATGAACGTATACACATGAAATTTTCCCTGGTTGTTTATATTTACATTATTTATACACGAAACCATTATCAAAATATTATGATCAAATTAAATTTTTATGAGCGTTTGAAATTCAAATTTTTACAATTTGGATATTCACTCGATTTCTCATGTAGCGATTTCTTTATTTTATTGTAATTCAAAAACGAATAACTATAGATACATGAAAACTTCACTGAATGTTTATATTAGCATTTTCTATACACCATACAATTTTGAAAATATTTTAACTCTTTTTGAGTTGTTTACGGACATTTTAAGTTTTCAATTTATTTAGTTTTTTTTCTATAAATATCAATTAAGTTTTATCTGTTGGGCCAAAGAGTGTAAAAATTTAATACAAATGGATATTGTGATATGATTAATTTGGAATTTATTATAGGTACCTATTATAGGTCAATTTTTTTTAATACCATAGATAAGTATATAATATGTCTTATACCTAGACTGACATACCGTCTTCGCTCAGAATCGTTTTTCTTATACAATGATATTATATCATTGAATTCAAATTTAATACCATCCACAGTGACCCACTTGTAACCTACTGTACAGCAGAGCATCTTTTTAAATTCAAATATTTTCTTTTGGGAGGGGGGAGGTTATACCCCAACTCCAATAGAAGGTGCCTATAAATAATATAGATATGTATATAATATATAATTTTAATTAAAAATAATAATAAGTAAATTATTATATTTATTCTATTTTCAATTTAAATGCATATGCCTAACTATACTATCAACATTATATTTTTGAAAATCTATTAAAGCGTCATTCACAATTTTTTTACGAGCCCTTTAAATATGTGACCCATAATATGCATCACAATAAAAAAAAAAAAAACTTATATTATTTTTACCTCAAATTACTTTTTTCATGTAACATGCAATTTTTGTTATAGCAAAAACACTAAGTACGTGTAGTGAATTTTAAAACAACGTAACCTAAGTCGACAAAACTGTTTAAAAAAAAATACGTATAGCTGACGGTGATTAATATGGTAAAGGCTTATTCGACAGGCAAGAATAGGCTTTGTTTCGACTGAAGTGCGTGGCGTTGTGCCTTTTTAATGAGAAATACGCGTCATTGAGTTTGAAAAGCCAGTAAGTTAATCTTCAAGGAAAACACATACGCTTGAGAATTTAAAAAAAACACACACACACATTTTTATTTTATATATAGAGCACGGTTGTGTATATCAATGAATTTTATAAGAAGAAAGTGTGAAAATATTTTAAAATATAAAAAAAAACTAATATAACAATTTCGCATATCGACACAAAAACATGTAAAACAACAAAGTGATATTATATAATATTTCTATTCTATGTACCTATATGGCTATACAAAATGTCGTTGATATTTTCATAACCGTTGTAAGGTTGTACATAATAATATGTTATGACAAGCACAACACGTTAAGTCCAAATACACAGTGCATGATTATAGTGTATAATACGTATATTACATGTTTAATACATTCATCGATCGCTTAATGCATATTAAATAAATATAACTTAAAATTAAAGTTATCTTGATCATGTTTTTTTTTATTATTGATAGTTTTTCAT